TAAATCTAGACAGAGCTTGTTCCCGGTTGTTCGGGAGTCTTACCCTGGTAGCTCGGAAGGGTAATGGAGAAACCCAGTGATTGGTTTCGTCTTTAAAGAACTCACTGTCCATTATCTTGACAAATTCTCTGTCCTCTACTGACAAGGCTACTTTATCGTCGTCCTTGGTTGTATGAAAGACTGATCTCCCCAAGTTGTCGGCAAAGAGGGGAGTAATGACGTCAGGTGGTTGTATGAGGCCTGGAGACTTCTCCTTCACCTCATAGTGATGAGGACACGGCTTAATGCAAGTTGTGCGTCCATCTGCACGCACGTACGTTTTGAAAGAGTCAATTCCTGGTTGATCTAAGCATACATTTCCTATGATTACCCATCCCAAGTCCAGTCTCTGGGCGTATGGTGCATAGTCAGGACCATTACACTGTTGACGCACCTTGTGTACCCTTAGATTGTCTCTGCCGAGCAGGAGTAGAATCTCGGCGTTGATGTCCAGTGGGATAACGTTGGCTAGGTGCCTTAGGTGAGGTTGGTGAAATGCAGCTTCTGGGGTAGGAATCTCATCCCTATGGTTGGGTATTTGATCGCATTCGATCAGCGTCGGTAAGGGTATTTCCGTATCCCCACTGACTGGAGAAGCGATGAATCCTTGTGCCCTTCTGCCGCTAGTCTCTATGCGGCCCGAGCAGGTGTTTAAGGTATAGGGTTCGGATGGTCCCTTTATTCCAAAGGCTTCAAAGAATTTAGGACCTGCTAGGGACCGGTTGCTTTGGTCGTCGATGATGGCATACATTTTTACTGCCTTTTCTGGTAGTCCCTCTGGGTAGACCTTGATTAGGCATATTCGGGCACAACATTTCTCACACTGGCCCTCCCCACATACATCCAAGCATGAGCAGGAAACAGCAGTCGCTGCATTAGCGTAATTTTGGGGCTCCCCGCCATGACTTGGAGCAGGACTGGTGGTGACGGCAGTGGGTGAATCTCTGGAGAGTGGGATTGGGTGCATAGCTGAGGCATGTCTTTCACTATGACACTCCTCACACTTGATGACAGATTTACAGTCCTTAGCCATGTGCTCCAATGAAGCGCAGCATCTGAAACATACCCCGAGCTCGGTGAGGATTTTCTTGCGCTCCAGTATGGTTTTGAATCTAAACCCTCTACATTTGTTCAGAGAGTGTGGTTTTTTATGAATGGGACATTCACGATTGAAGGTCTTATCTCCTGATGAGGTGGTGTACTGTTTACCCGTGGGTACTGCAGGAGATGGTAGGTTAGTCTTTCTAACACTCACGCTGCTCTTGAAGTCTCTGTGTTTATGCATGATGCTTTCATACCTTGACGATGATGTTGCTGAAGCTGTAGTGTTGAACTCCAGGAAGTCGAGGCTGGGGTCATTCCTCATCTGGGACTGTTCATCGATAAATCTACAGAAGTGAATAAATGGGGGAAAGGTGATGTCATGCTCTCTTTTGTACCTTGAGACTGATGCCGCCCACTTTTCTTGCAGACTGTATGGTAGCTTCACGACAATTGGGTTCACTCCATGAGCTGTATCCAGGTAGCAAAGCCCAGACAGACGAGGGTCACCCTTGGCAAGCTCCAGTTCCATGAGCAGATCACTTAAATCCTGAAGCTTCTGGACATCCTTGAGATTGATCCTTGGAACGTTCTGCAGTCTCTTGAATAGGGCCTTCTCTATTGCTTCTGCACTGCCGAAGGTACGTTCGAGTCTCTGCCAGGCGACAGCAAGACCTGCTTCTGCTTGTCCCACATAGACAGTTCTGAGGCTCTTGACACGATTTGTGGAGCCTGGGCCCAGCCATTTGATCAAGAGGTCAAACTCCTGCTCTGCGGTTAGGTTGAGGTTAGCGATGGCGGCCTTGAAGGTTGCCTTCCAAGCTCTGTAGCTCTCTGCACGGTCATCAAATTTTGAGAGACTGGTGTTGGTTAGCTCTCTGCTCACCATAAACCTGGCAAACTCAGACATATATCTGATTTCTCACTGCTTGTTGCCATGACGACTTGTGATGCCCCTGGGGCGTATTGGCTGCCTGGTGTGAAGGGGTGAGATGCTTCCGGGTAGAATGATGTAGCTGCAGGGTTAAGCTTTCGTTTAGCCTCTGTATATTGTGATGACTGCTGCTTGAGCTGTGGAGGTAGGCCAGAAAACGCCTGATAGCGATCTTTCTGTAACAATCGTCCTTGAGAGGGCACTTCCGGGTAACGGTTATTAGGTTGCTCGGGTGCTGTGGGTGGCACTGGGTACCGCAGGTAGAGCTGACTTGGAGGTTTCAGTGTTCTCGGCTTGGACGGTACTGCAAACTGGGGGTGGCGCAGATAACTGATTCAGTACATAGTCACTGGTGCGATCAACTGGATCATCTATCTCCTGTGGTAGCGAGCAGACTGGATCAAGACCTTGGCTCAATGCTTGCTCAAGTAGTCTTACTTTAGCTAATGCAATTTCCTCCTGCATCTCTGATTCGAAAATCTTTATTCGAGCCTCTGCTTCTGCCCTCTTGGCCTCTGCTGCCTCTGCCCTCTTGGCCTCTGCTTCTGCCTCTGCCCTCTGCCTCTGCTTCTGCCTCTGCCTCTGCCTCTGCCTCTGCTTCTGCCCTCTTGGCCCTCTGCTTCTGCCCTCTTGCCTCTGCCTCTGCTCTGCCTCTGCCTCTGCCTCTGCTCTGCCTCTGCCTCCTCTGCTTCTGCCCTCTTGGCCTCTGCCCTTGCAAGAGCTTCTTTTTCTGTGAAGGAGCGTCTCGCTTTGGATTGCTCTGCGTTTATGCGGGCCTCTAGTAATCTGTCGCTCAAGGCTGAGCTTCTTGAGCACGATGATCTGTATGACCGAGAGGAATGTTTAGATGAATTTGATCTGTGTGACTTAGTTTCTTGCAAATGCGAGATACGGAGTTCCGCTTTACCTTTAACATCCAGCACCATGACGTCTCTTTGTCTGGCTATTGATTCTGCCTTGCTCAGTTCTGATAGGGCTTCATCGATATTAGAGTCTTTTAGAAAGGTTATATACCTTGTGGACAGTTTATTGTATCTTTCATGAGCTGTGTCCAGCCGCCCGATGGCAACTTGTAAGCTTGTGGCATCACCTGAGGAGGATTTAAGTCCGGACATGAGGGAGGAAACTCGTTCCCATTGTTCCTCCAGGTTATCACATAGCTCATCTTTCGTGGTGTGATAATTTTCAATGACTTTTACTGTCGGTTTCAGAGAGCGTCTTGGTCGTACGACTTGTTCTGCTGGAAGTGTGGATTCTGTTCCCTGCCCTTCATAACGATCAGTATCAGGTTGTATTTGCTTTAGTTCATCACTGGGGAACTGTGCAAAGTCCTTTTCGGCCATTTTGACTTAAGGTGCGCTGTCCCTTTAAGAAAATGAAGTTTTGAATTGGGCGCTGAAAATCGCAGCACGGCTCCGATAGGGCACTTTGATAAAATTTCTAAGATGTTTAGAGTGAATTGCGGGGTTTTGCGGGCCACAGCAATGTAAGGAGCGTGCATAAACAGTACTTCTATTATGCGAGGAAAAGTTAATATAGGACTTTAGGAATGGCTTGGCGAGTTGTGGAGGACTTCCAGGCGAGACTATAGATACTGCGTATGCGCAGTGCTTCCGCATAGGCTTGTGGAACGTGCACTGTAGCCGGGCAGATTTGCTGCAAGTGGGCCTGTTGCTAGGGAGATTCCTGAGTGTGGTACTGGACTCTGAGGGAATCTGTAGCGGGGTATGGACTTTAAGGCAGTTTTTGACTGTTCTGTCCCCACATGAAGGCGAATGAAGGTATATCTAATAATGGCTGTGTAACTTCCTACCTTCGTATCCAAGCAGTGGAGCAGACCGGACCGGCAGATGTTCAGGTTAGATGGATCCAAACGTATACACGGGAATGAAATCAGCGTGGGTTTATTTGGTCCAAAATACAGCGACAAACAGTGATACAATACTGTAAGGTAGTAGAGGTATTGATGCTGTCCTGCGATATCTTTCCTGAGGCTAACTGCTGGTCAAAAACTGATGCCTTCACAAGCCAGGGTAATGAATGTCCTGTCACACAGCTATATAGCAGATAAAATGGCTGCAGGAAGTGACCAGAACCAAGGCTTGCCTAAAACCACGCCCAGCAGAGAGAAAACACTTACTAGCTATAACAAAGGCATGCAGCATGCAAATTCTGGCCAGCAGATGGCAGCAACAGATCAAGACATAGAAACAAACATGGTGAAATAAGAATTGGTAATACAATGCACAGTTAAATATTCTTCCCACTGGCCACCAATGTAAGGGACATTCTTCCCACTGATGACCAATGTAAGGGACATTCTTCCCACTGGCCACCAATGTGAGGGGCATTCTTCCTTCTGACCACCAATGTAAAGGGGCATTCTTCCCACTGGCCACCAATGTAGAATTCTTCCCACTGGCCACCAATGTAAGGGGCATTCTTCTTTCTGACCACTAATGCAAGGAGCATTCTTCCCATTGATTAACAATGTAAGAAACATTTTTTTCCCACTGGCCACCAGTGTAAGGGACATTTCTTCCCACTGATGACCAATGTAATGTCAATAAACTGATTTTAGAAGGGGTGCCCTGAGACCTGAAAAGTATTTTAAGAGTTACTCTGGCATAAATTGGTTGAGAAAAGCTGGACTGGAGAGTCTTCTCTTGAGATTTTGCCTGCTTTGCATTGCAGGGAATCTTCAAGATAGAATGGTGGCATCACAGCAAGTAATAGGGCAGATGAGGGTATGGAAACATAAATCTAATTTTTCTTTTTTAACCACCTCCCGACCGCCATATAGTAATATGACGGGCGCAAGGTGGTTCTCTCGTTCTGGGAGGACGTCATATGATGTCCTCCCATTCTAACTGCGCATGCGCGGCTCAGGGAGCGCACAGCACGGCAATCTACGGTGCGCTGTGTCCCTTGGACACAGCGGATCACCGATCACGGAAAGAGCAGAAGATGTCGGCTCGGTCATGTGATCAGCTGTGTCCAATCACAGCTGATCATATGTAAACAGGGAAATGCCGGTTATCGGTATTGCTCTCCTCTCGAGCTGTCACGCTGACTGCTCGAGAGGAGAGCCGGTAATCGGCTTTCCGCGGAGGGGACATGTACATTGATCATCAGGGCACTGATGATCAGTGTGGCCCCAGCAGTGTCAACTGTCAGTGTCCATCAGTGCCTTGTGCCAGTACCCATCAGTGCCACATCAATGCCACACACCAGTGCACATCAATGCCACATATCAGTGCCCATCTGAGCTGCCTTTCAGTGTTACCCATCAGTGCCAGTCAGTGCCACCTATCTATGCCAATCAGTGCCACCTATCAGTGCCAGTCAGTGCCGCCTAACAGTGCCAGTCAGTGCCATATATCAGTGCCATGTATCAGTGCTGCCTTTCAGTGCCCATCAGTAATGCCTGTCAATGCCCATCAGTGCCTCCTCATCAGTGCCACCTGTAAATGTCCATCAGTGCACCCCATCAGTGCAGCCTCATTAGCGCACATCAGTGAAAGGAGAAAAATCACTTATTTACAACATTTTATAACAAAAATTAAGAATAAACTTTTTTTTCAAAATTTTCAGTGGTTTTTAGTTTGTTTAAGAAAAAATGAAAAACCAGAGGTGATTAAATACCACCAAAAGAAAGCTCTATCTGTCACAAAAAAAATGATAAAAAAATGTCATATGGGTACAGTGTTGTTTGACCGCGCAATTGTCATTCAAAGTGTGACAGCGCTGAAAGCTGGAAATTGGCCTGGGCAGGAAGAGGGTATAGGTGCCCTGTAGGCTAGTGGTTAAAGGTATATTTTTCACCTAATAACAGAGCATGATTTGTAAAGGAGGAGTAGTCCTGGGCATTTTACTTGGCCCTTGCATTTTACTGCAAGCTCTACTTTCAGTACAAATATAAGAATGCAAAGGTAATAAAATATAACAGAATTAGAAGCTTGTAGCAAGTTTTGGTTCAGCTTTTCTCCTAACACTCAAATTTCTCAAGACGTAAGGTGTTTGCAGGTTACAGCATTCATTCCATTCTACAAAACAAGAAAAATAATTTCCCCCATTCCTTTCTATTGATACTCAGATGGAGATGGTACTACCCACAGCATGGAATATGTACTGGACTCAAGAGTGTTCTGTGCCTTCTCTCTGTGTACAATTGGAGGTTTTGTATATGGCATATGAATGACGGAGGAACCTGCAGCTCATCTAGCCCAGAATGTAATGTGAATGGTAGAAGCTTTGTCTTCTAAAAGCCCATTATTCATCATTTGCTGCTCCATCTCATCTGGAGAGATGGGGAACCGTTAACTATTTTCCTAATCCAAACCTAGAAACAGCTGTTGTCTTTCATACGAATAGACTTGTATAACAAGAATTCCAGGTATGGGTTCCTGTGGGATCCCCGTGGAAGCTGGAAATCATTGTAGTAGGCACTGCTATGTTGCATTTTCTGAATGAATGCCTATGTCTAACAAATTATGCACCGATTTGCATGTTCATGAGGGAAATAAGTATTTGATCCCCTATCATTCAGCAGGATTTCTGGCTACCAGGTGTCTTTCATACAGGTAACAAGCTGAGTTTAGAAGCAGTCTCTTAAAGGGAGTGCTGCTAATCTCCTTTTGTTACCTGTATAACAGACACCTTTCCACAGGAGCAATCAAACAATCAGATTCCAAACTCTCCACCATGGCAAAGACCAAAGAGCTGTCCAAGGATGTCAGGGACAAGATTGTAGACCTACACAAGGCTGAACTGGGCTACCAAACTATCACCAAGCAGCTTGGTGAGAAGGTGACAACAGTTGGTGCAATCATTCGCAAATGGAAGAAACACAAAACAACTGTCAGTCTTCCTGGGTCTGGTGCACCATGCAAGATCTCACCTCGTGGAGTGTCAATGATCATGAGAACAGTGAGGAATCATCCCAGAACTACACGTGAGGATCTTGTCAATGACCTCCAGGCAGCTGGGACCACAGTAACCAAGAAAACAATTGGTAACACACTACGCCGACAAGGATTGAAATCCTGCAGTGCCTGCAAGGTCCCTCTGCTCAAGAAAGCACATGTCCAGGACCGTCTGAAGTTTGCCAATGAACATCTGAATGATGCCGAGGAGGACTGGTTGAACGTGTTGTGGTCAGATGAGACCAAAATCGAGCTCTTTGGCATCAACTCAACTCACCGTGAAGGAGGAGGAGGAATGTTGCCTATGACCCCAAGAACACCATCCCAACTGTCAAACATGGTGGTGGAAACATTCTGCTTTGGGGGTGTTTTTCTGCTAAGGGGACAGGACAACTGCACCGCATCAAAGGGACGATGGATGGGACAATGTACCATCAAATCTTGGGTGAGAACCTCCTTTCCTTAGCCAGGGCATTGAAAATGGGTCGTGGATGGGTATTCCAGCATGACAATGACCCAAAACACACGGCCAAGGCAACAAATGAGTGGCTCAAGAAGAAGCACATTAAGGTCCTGGAGTGGCCTAGCCAGTCTCCAGAGTCATGTTTTGTGAAGGGGATCAAATACTTATTTACCTCATGAACACGCAAATCAATGCATCATTTGTTAGACATGCATTTCTTTTGAATTTTTTGTTGCTATTCTGTCCCTCAGTGTTACAATACACCTACCATTCAATTTTTAGACTGATTATTTCTTTGTGAGTGGGCAAACATTCAAAAATCAGCAGGGGATCAAATACTTATTTCCTTCACTGTATGTCTTCAGCAGGAATGATCAGAATTATTTTTCTTGATCTGGACAGGGGTGGTGTGGTTCTTTAGTGTGGCAGGAACATGTGAATCTCAAAAATGGCTGAACAGAGTAAGATATTCTTACTTCATTTTTGCATTTAGCGGTCTGTCTGGAGGTCTCCTTTAGGTCCCGTTCATCTATTGCATAGCAGGAAACGAGAATTTGTTTGCGATTTTCAAAGAGCAATTCTCATGCAATTCTGCGTGTCATGTAGGGCAAGCCCATTCACTTGAAGTGTCCTATGAGCATTTATTGCCCAAAAAGAAGCTCCTGACCCTTTCTGTGCAACAAGCTTCGCACAATTTTTAAAGGTGCACTTTGCCCCGATTGCTGTGCGATCCTGTTGTGGGACAATCGAACCAGAATGGCATCGTGTTGGAGTGTTGTTAAAGGACAGTGGCACCCAAAACGTACATCACGTGCTTTGCAGGGATTGCTGCGTGATTTGGAATCAAAGGCAAAATTGTAGCGATTCTGCCCACGATTTAAAAATCACAAAGTGTGAATGGGGCCTAAGGGCAGAGTCTACTCTGCTTAAAGGCCCCATTCACAATTCACAGTTTGGAACCCCGGGCAGATTTGCCAAGATTCTAAATCACATGGCAATCACTGCAAAATAAACGATGTGCATTGGGGTGCCATTATCCTTTAGTGGCACCCCAAATACGAGAAGATTCTGCTGCGACTGCCATGCAACAGGATCGCACAGCAAAATGTGCTTTATAAACCACAAATCGGCTGGCACTATGCGACATGCAGAATCGTGTGCGAATTGCCCTTTAGAACTCGCGTAGCGGGAACGCTTGTTACCGCTATGCAAAATGTGAACAGGGCCTAAGTTTCTGGCAGGCTGGTTTTGGTAAACAGCTAATTTGCATATGAACAGCCCCTCCTCAGCTTCAGAAAGGAAGACAAATTCCTAATAGGTTATTTGTAAAGATCTGAACATCTCCGCCATTAGCAAACCTTTTTTTCTGTTTAGAGCGGAGTTTTGCTCTCTGATTCCAGGGAGACATTCAGAAAAAGCAGCTGTGTGAAATCCTGAGGATTTTATAGCTATTTTATCTCTGATAATTATATCTGGTATATCCTGCATTTTTTGTAGCAGGGATTAATCTGTCAGCCATAGACTAGTCAACCAATAATACGAGCGCTGAAAAGCCTCATTACAGCACCTCATTTATATGCATCCTCCGCCGACTCAAAGAAAAATATATATACTTTTCTTTCCGGCAAATCTGTTTTTCTTCCTTCAGGGACAGACAGGGAAAAAGTCTACAGTAAACATTATATTGAACTGGAAAGATTTCTTTTTCTTGAAGAGTTATCTCCAAGTCCCAGAGAGCCCCCGGGGATTAGGATGGTTTTCAAGGATAAGACGTCAGGAGATGTGACAATACCGCCATCCTGCTTGAATCAGCACTGCGTACTCCTACACCAGAATCAACATTCCCACACCCACAGAGCTTGCAATTCCTTTGCTAATATGTGAAATCAGCATATATATATGCATGTATACAGACCCAGAAAGAGGGCACAGGAACAGAGGCTGGTAGGCCAGGGGACAGTAACAGACTGCCTATGTGCAGCCATGATGCCACTGAGTCATGACCTGTCCTCTAAGGCAGAGGTTAGAAACCCTGGATTAGTGATCTACCTGAATAACATGGAAGCAATCAAAGATCACAGGGGTGACTTACCAAGGCCACTTGAACCATTTGACGCCCAGCCAATAGCCGCATGGCGTCCGGAAAAATGCACTAGCTTTCCGGGAGGTCGCCATTTGGCGTACTCCCGCACATGCGCAGTTTGCGCGCTTGCAGAGTCGTGCAGCGGCGTGATCTGTCACCAGCCGTGTACCTCGGACACGGCCGATGACAGATCTGAGTATCGGCCCCGTTGCCAGTACCATGTGACCTGCTGTGACCAATCACAGCAGGTCACATGACAGTTGTATACAATTGATGGCTTCATTCATCATGCCATCCATTGTATACTAGTGTCTAGCTGTGAATGGTCACAGCTAATCACATGCACATGCCCAGATCCAGGATAAATGGACCCAATGCAACATCTAACTACTTCTTTGTAGATCCAAAATTCATGGACCCTATCCCTTGTCACAAACCCTGCTCAGAATGAGAATAAATATACCCCAATCCAATAACATACAAACCTTTCCCAGGTTTAGAATAAATGGAACCAATCCCATGCCACAACACCTGCCCATACCCACAATTTATAAATCCAATTCCAAGTCATGCCACACCTGCCCAGATCCAGAATAAATGGACACAACCCCATGTAACACCAATATCTGCCACATCCAGAATAAGTGGACCATTCTAACGTCACACCTTCCCTGTCCAGATCTAGAACAAGTGGACCAGGTCCAAGTCACACTACCCCTGCCCATATCCAGAATAAATAGACCAAGTCCAAGTCACACCAAGCCCGCCCAGATCCAGAATAAATAGACCCAATCTCATGTCACACCTTCCCTGCCCAGATCTAGAATAAATGGACCATGTCCAAGTCACATCAGCCCCACCGAGATACAGAGCAAACAGACAAAGTCCAAGTCATACCGCCCCTGCCCAGAGCCAGAGTAAATGGACCAAGTCA